GCAGTAACTACCTCAGCCTTTTTCCTTCTATTTTTTTTTCTTTTCATGATGACAGTGAGTCCCTGCCTCTCCTGACTGCACATCACTGCTCCGAACTCAGCCTAAACCCCCCACCCGCCGCCTGGTTCTTGTTGGAAATGGTAGCATTTTGAATTTCTGACGGTGCTTTAGAAATAGTATGCCAAAATGTAAAAAGTGGCCAGTTCAGAAATGTCAGTTGGGAGACGGAAGGGAGGTTTGTGTATAAAACTTTGCAAAGACACCTGAAATGTAATGGAGTTTGGCTGAAGAAAATGGTTATTTATTTAGTGTATGACATATCATGCATGGAGTAGCAATATAAATTAACCTTTCACCTAGATTAGTAAAACACAGTAAAATAAAAATGTTAAAAAGATCTATCTTCAAATACGAAAGTCTAGCCATCTAATCATTGAAGCTCAGGATCCTTTATATGAAAAAAATCAGATACTGGACTGGTATATGCCCTCAGTTTACAACTGGTCATGATGCGATCTACAGTTTTATGTGGAACCCACGGTCAGACTGAGGGGAGGATACTATGCCCCAGTTATATAGAGAGTGTAAATCCTATTCAGGATCATCCATTACTGATGTTTTAGTTCAAAGCTTGGCACCTTATTTGTGGGGTCATTTATATGTCTGCCTATTTAGTGTATTATTTACTATTTAGTATTTAGTGACCCATTTGTCTGTCCATTGGGAATCAATGTTAAGGTGCTTGTGCAGATGTGCAAGTGCCCATGGGGACTGCCTGGATTTCAGTCTTCCTGCTGATAAGTGAGGAAAATCGGTGTGCACCGGTAGGGGTGAGTTGTTCATAATTTTTCTGTATTCTCTCACTAGTGCATCTTGCCTTTGTAAAGCTGGAAGTACTATATAGCTCAGAACAGGAAGCCAGCAAGTCAGAATCCATCTGCTTATAATCCTCATGGTGGTGTTGAGTATGGCATCTAATTTACTAATATGGCAGCTGTGAAGGACACAGTATTCTGCTGCGGAGTATACCACCCTACTGATGACCTGAGGGTAGCAGCTGAGGTTGTCCATTTAGTTCCACATAATTTCTGGAGTATGTTGTTCCTAGTATTGATTTTTGCCGCCATATTCTCCAAATACATCTTTTAGGAGAAAGTCCGTTCCAATGCTACTCCAGGATAGGGATGGGGATTATACTGGAGTAAATTGTTGTTTAAGTAGACCTTTGAGTCTATATGTTCATATTTATATTTTATAAAGGAAACAGCACTTTCTCATATGAGCCTCCGTCTGAATTGATATAGCTTGAGGGGTTTGTCACCTCTCACAAAATTAACTCACACCTAAACATAGCTGGATTAGGACAATATGATTAAGCATGTACATATTTATTTATTTATTTTATATGCTGCACATTTTACTACAAGTGACATATTACCTACCAGTCTTTTCACTTTGCAAATACTGTATATACAGGTAGTCCTCAACTTACAACAGTTTAGTGATTGTTCAAAGTTACAATGGCACTGAAAAAAGTGTCTTATGACCATTTTTCCCACTTATGACCATTGCAGCATCCCCAAGGTTACGTGATCAAAATTCAGACACTTGGCAACTGACTCATATTTATGACGGTTGCAGTGTCCCTGAGTCAAATCAAGCCTTTTTCAACTTTCTGACAAGCAAAGTCAATGGGGAAAGCAGATTTACTTAACAACCGTGTTTCTAATTTAACAATTGCAGTGATTCACTTAACAACTATGGCAAGAAAGGTTGTAAAATGGGGCAAAACTCAATTAACAAATGTCTCACTTAGCAACCAAAATTTTGTAATCAATTGTCATAAGTTGAGGACTACCTATACTATAATTTGGGTAGGGTGGCTATTGTTCTATTTTACAGATCAAGATTGAGATTGAGAAAAATGCAGAACCATTTGTCCTGCAATCTTTTTACATTTTTCAAAAAGAACCCCAACAATGTTTACTAAAAATAGTTCAATTTTGAACACAATTGGGAATAGGAATTCAAGTCACTAAGTGAAACTGTAAGTATGATCCTACTTCAGCTTTCCTTTGTTTACAGATCTGTACAATTATTGGTTGTAAAGTTACTTTTTCATCTGTGTCATAACTGTGAATAGTTATTAAATCAGGCAGCTGCTAAACAAGTCACCCTGTAACACTCTGATGAGTTCATCAGTATTGATTCTTTACTTCCGGTTACACAAACTTTCCACTAAAACAAGTCCATTAATTTTTCCAGTCTGCATGAGGCCCTTAGCAGCCTATGGATGCCCATGTTAATGCTGCTTTTTCTTGAATTCTCCTCTCCAGATTGCCTTGCCAGGTGTTTGATAGGGAAGAGAACACCTTCCACAGAACAATTAGTACTTGGTTGCCAGGCAGCAACATGTTGTCTAGCTCTTCTCCCTCAGCTTCATGCCAAAATTTTGCTCCATCCCCATTTGTATAAAAAAGGGCTGTACATTTCTATCATTTGGGCCTCACCATGGCAGCATGGTTGTTGAATTGTGTGAGGAGAGGTCATCTTGCTCCATTGATGAGCCCATGATGGTTCACTATGCCATTTAAACAGTATTACTATCAATAGCTCTGACTGCTAAAGCTATCATACTTAACACCATTAGTCAAAATAAACTAAGCATATACAAAGGTGTTTTTAGAGAGCTTTATCCTTTTTCTCATATAAATGATATAGGCAGAACTGTTGCATGCAGTTTGTTTCAGATTAAAAAATATTTTAATTTTTTTAATTTCTGGAGGTGGATTTTTAGAACATAAACTTTGATTTTGGAATTTCAAATGACTTTTTTTATTAACTAATAAAGTATTGCTAGAATAAACAAAAACTACATCTCTCTTCCTGAGCTGTATGTTCTAGCAGCCAAGATAGATATTTGGACATACAAGTTAAATTCCTTCCAGTTGATTTAATTCAATCCTCAAGGAAACCAAGCAAGAGTGTGTGTGTGTGTGTGTGTGTGTGTATGTAAGTATGTATGTATGTATTTAGTGTCACAACCCCTGGTATGCCCAAATATGGGAGGAAGCAGATTGCTTCCATTCTGTCTATCGGCTCGTCACAAGAGACCATCACAACAGAAACCCAATATTTTTACTGTTGCCTTTGTTACATTATTTATTTATCAGCAAATGCAACACACACACACACACATATGCATTATTGCCTGCAGTTCTCCAAAATATACGGAAAATATCAGTTTCCTTTATTTTCTTCACCAAAATGGATTCATATGAATTCTTCACTTTCCATACATGTAATATCTGTTGTTTGTAAAAAGAATGCTTGAAGTTCCTAAGTGGTGTATCTTAATAATTAGGTTTTATTTGACCAAATAAGATGTAATAACTTTACCCTCTGAAGAATTGGCAAACAGAACTAAGTGGAATACTCTGTTTTAACTTCACCAGTAAAGAAATATGAAATCAATAGCCTCCACAGACAGCATGTATTATTTTTAATAACATTTCTGTCTTCTGTATATCATTTTGTTCCATAGGCATTTCTTCCTTTCACATGTAGAGCCATAGTAAAAGTGTTCTATATAACTTTAGGTTTCTATTTCTTTTCCTTTCCTTTTGATTCTTAAAATTAATTTAATGAAAGCATATCAAAATATTCTTGAATAAAGTATCATACTATGTTGGACTTATGTTTAATGTTAATTAACTTTGATAGCACAGTACTAAAAATAACTATCTAACATATAAAAGCAAGGGTCTTGCTTTAAATACCAGTTAAAGGTATTAACTGAACGGAAGAAGGCGGGGCTTAGCAGTGAGAAGATGGAGTTTNATTAGTAATAACTATGAGAGGGATCTTGGAATCCTAGTGAACAACCATTTAAATATGAGCCAGCACTGTGCAGCAGCTGCCAAAAAAGCCAACAGAGTTCTAGGCTGCATAAACAGAAGTATAGAATCAAGATCACATGAAGTGTTAATACTAATTTATAATGCCTTGGTAAGGCCACACTTGGAATACTGTATCCAGTCTTGGTTGCCACAATGTAAAAAAGATGTGGAGACACTAGAAAGAGTGCAGAGAAAAGCAACAAAGATGATTAGGGGACTGGAGGCTAAAACACGAAGAACGGTTGCAGGAACTGGGTATGTCTAATTTAATGAAAAAAAAGGACTAGGAGAGACATGATAGCAGTGTTCCACTATTTCAGGGGCTGCCACAAAGAAGAGGGAGTCAAGCTATCCTCCAAAGCACTTGAGGGTAGAAAAGAAGCAATGCATGGAAACTAATCAAAGAGAGAAGTAACTTAGAATTGAGAAATTTCCTGACAGTTAAAACAATCAGTGGAACAACTTGCCTCCAAAACTTGTGAATGCTCCAACACTGAAAGTTTTTAAGAAGACATTGGATAACCATTTGTCTGTAGTGATGTGTGGTTTCCTGCCTAAGCAGAGGGTTAGATTAGAAGACCTCCAAGGTCCCTTCCAACTGTTATTCTATATCTGTTTCAGGCCTCCTACTAAATGAGCACCAATTATAATACTGTTCTGAACCATTTATGTCCTCCCAAAACAGAAATACTCATCTATCTACAAAACAGACTTTTGCTTAGAATAAAAATTAAATCATCCTTAAACTACTATTAAAAATGGCAAAAAGACCCCAAACTGTTAGAACCCAATCAAATCAGAAGCCATTCCATTCCACATCTTGTTCTAAAAACCTAATTATTGCTTCTTCCAAGTCCATTGGGACTGCAATTATCTTAATGATATCAACAAAGTGACATCAGACTAACGAAAACACATTGTCTGCAAAAATAAAATGATTCCCTACAGCTCACCTTTAGTGAAAATTAGTTTCTTATTGTATATATTCACAGAAATGTTACTGTGCATATACCTGCATCTAAGTAAATTGTTTGCTTGTCCTGGAAACGTAGAAAATTATATAAGCCTTATTACATTTAACTGCTTGAAGTGTATCAGAGAGGGAGGCATTTGGTACATCTCCGTAGCAGCTAGTATTTTTGTAGAGATGTGTATCATGCTTGAAAAACCCTAACTTCATTCTAGTACTGAAAGGCAAACATCTGTGGGGCTAAAATGTGATTATGTTAGAAGGGATTATGTAGTAAAAGTATATCTATAACTAGTGAAAATTCATAAATATATCTATTAATTGTTACAAGATTATTTCTCCCAAGCTTGTATCATCATGATAATATTACTAAGTGTTCTGTAAACAAGACACACTTAAAACAATTGCAACACTATACTGGCCCAATAAGTGAAAGGAACTTTAAGACATTTTTAAAATTATAATTTATTAATTCCAGAGTGGTATATCAAGCTATAGAGTACTCTTTTTCCTCTTTACAATTTTGCAAGCAATACATTATACAGCCTCATTTAAAAGAATTAACTTCCACCACTCAACAAGCTAAACTATGTCTTCATCTGGAAGAATTAGCATAGATTTCCCTGGAGGATGCAGAAGAGATGGAGGATGTACAACTTTTTTGAAAACTAACAGAAGTCATGCAAATAATTCATTCCAAATAAGTATTTTCATACCACTCTGCACAACACTGTATTATGTTGCTAGCAAATAGTAATACTTTCAAAACCATGATAATTACAGTACTTGGCCATGTATGACATTAACCATAAAAGCAGAACTGATTTTCAAAAGCACTTGTATTCAGACTGTGGTAGTAATAAATATATTTTCTCTATCCTATGTTGCTGAAAACTGACATTACAGACTTGTACTGTCCAATTCATTTAAAAAATTAAAATGTCTAGAACTAACATTAAATTTTCATAACCAATGATGATACAAACTAAAATATTATGTAGTCTTATGTAATTTAAAATTAAACAAAAGCAGCAGCAGTACAATAGTATTGTTTGGTTACCAAGGCCTTACTTTCTTTTGCTTTTTGTGTCAGTAGTCTGAAAAACACTAGAGGCAGACATGAGGTTTTCTATATATTGTCCAAGAACCTGATTTTCTGATTTCAATTTCAAATTTTCTTCTTTAACGGCATCTACTCTTGCAGACAGATCTGTAAAGACATGTAGAGGTCTTTAGCAGCCAATGTTTAGGCAAAACATTTTTTTAAAAAAATTGCAAAGTTTTTGAAAGTCATTAAAAAAACAAAGATAATTGTATAATGAAATCCATGCAGTGACCCAAATAAATGTATGTGCATAGTTACAAAAAAAACCCAAACTAATCTATTATCAGATGTACCAGTGGTGGGTTGCTAACCAGTTTACTACTGGTTCGCTCGTGCTCATGCACACACTCGTGCTCATGCGCAGAAGCATCTGGGTGGGTGGGCGGAGCCTCCTGCCGCTATCACTACTGGTTCGGCCAAACTGGGAGCAACCCACCTCTGGATGGGGCACATCAAAGTCAGGATGACAAAACCAAAAATATCCTAAGACCTCTGTGACTGGCAAAATGTTTCTCACCAGGACAGGTCTGTCTAGAAAAAGGTAATTTTTACAATATTTTGATTCACAACTAATTAATAAATGTTGGAAAGAAATCTTGAACTGAACCCATAAATGGAGCAGAAGTTATTGCAATTATTTCATGGAATCATAAGGTTGGAGGTCTTCTAGTCCAACATCCTTGCCAGTGCTGGAATCCTAAAACCATCCAGGATAACAATATCCCAAAATCCTTAATTTGTCTGCCTTTATAGTAATCTAAGTTTCTTACCTGGAGTCAAAAGGAACTAAAGACACATTTAAATCACCACATTGTTCTAGTTTCCTTAAAAAGCACTGCTTTAATACTGCAGTCATAACATAAAACTATTAATATTATGTTATTAGCCTATCCCACAAAATTAAAAGAAATATTCAAATATATTTACACAGTTTACTTTCTCTATTAATAACATTCTATCTTTTAAATAATTTGGCATGAAGTTACATATGTAAATTAAGAAACTAACCTTCAAGTGTATGCTGCAGTTCCAAAACTTGATTGATAAGTCGTGTTTTTTCTTCTAATTCTACTTGATTTTCAGTCTCACCAGCTGATAAAAAAACATAATCTTTAGAACAATTAAATATTATAACCCACATAACAACAAAATAATAGTAAAATGCATTCTACCATCCATATCCGCATTCATCATTGTTAAATAGATCCTTTCCGTCCTCAACTTCTTGGGAGATATGTTCTGTTTGAAGGGCAGAAAACAATATCAATAGTATGCACATACACAGAATCACCGTTTTCCAGCTTATTATTTTAGACTGACAATACTTGTTACCAAAACTTCAAAATGCCAGACTCAGCAGTCATTAAGAATGTCAAAACAGACAAATGATTCAGTAGCTACAAATGACAAATGATTTGTCCCTCTAAGGGACAAATTAATAGGTATGCTTTTTATTCTAGAAAAGTGATAGGATTCTGCACATATTAAAACTATCCACTTCCCAACTTTTTATAACATCTTTGGAATATACATATTCTTAAAACTTTTTACACAATTCTTCAAGCAAATATTATTGCAGCCAAAAGGAGCACATCCTAAAATTAAAATGAGTAGCTATCCAAAGGTCCAACTCATTTTAAATATATTTTTGGATCATTTCAGTTAATACTCTGTACAGAATATATATACTTACCTACAGTATAATGTGAACAGAGTATATTCACATTATACTGTACACAATACACTTGCATCCTTCAAATTTATCATGGTTGAATGCAATTGTGTTCAAAAGATTGGATTGGATCTCCTATTACCAGAGAGGAAGGGAGGGAGAGGGAGGGAGATGGAGGGAGAGGGAATATGCTTTCTCATAAACACATAAAGGGCTCTGACAACAGATCCTAAGCGGGATTCTTCGCATTTCTACCGCAAAGCTCTATTCAGAGAAAAACACGCCCTCTCCTTATAGAAGGAAATACGGTTTTGCATCCTGGCACGAAGAAACCTTCGCCTACATCCCATAAACCCATCACCCACACACTCCGGCCAATTCCCCTCCCATCACCACGCTGCGTCCCAGCTCCCGCAAGACTCCCCAGAGCAGAAGCGCGCGCTCGACCCTTCTTTCTTCCGATTTCGTCACCTGCCAAAGAGGCTCTCGCCTACTTACCCACCTGCCACAAGATACCCTGGCACTCCGACCCCTGCCGAGTTCAAAAGCAGCCACTGCGCCTGCGCGATGTTTTCCTCGGTCAACCGGTAGCGCACGCGCCTTGTCCCCATGAAAACAACGAGGCGGAGCGAAATCGGAGAAAAGGCGGGCTTAAGAGAAAGGAGATTTTCGCCGTCACCAATCACGGCCGAAGAAAAGGCCATGGCTTTTCCCGATGCAACCAATAAGCGGCGGGAGACATCATCAGACGCTTCCTAGTCATTCCACTTGTCAGCTTGCTGCCGTGGATGGAGACGGCTCCGCGAACGGAATTAGAAAGGGAGATGCGACTGCTTGTTCAAATCCAGACCCCCCGTTTTTTTCATGGGTGTGCTCCTAATTATTTATCTTAAAAAGTCACAGCAGAAAATCGGTTTGAGTTGAACAGTGTTTTTTTGAGAGGGAAACAAGGTGAAAATCACGGATTTAAAGCGTGCAGAATCCTGTCTTTGCAGTAGGGAGATACAATAGGGTAAGGTGACCAGATTTTTAGATTGGTAAAGAGGGACACCTTTGACGGGGGGGTGGGGGGGTGATTAAAAATTGTATACGGAGCAACAAAAATTTTCATACAACGCAAAAATAGTATTGTAATATTTGTTTTATTTCAA